TACCATACCAGGGGTACTTATGAAAATCACATTTATTTATTGTAGGCACGTGAGTTGATAGCGCTGTGCTCTCTCGCTAGATACGTTTACTAGATCTTCTTCCTGATCAGTTGGCCAAGCAGCCTTCATGGTAAATGATAACAGTAGACAGATTGATTGCTTTCTTAACCCGCCGCCTCCTCCTCCAACGCTCTCGGCGATTTTGCGATGAAAAACTTTAAGGAGCAAAATGTTAACAACAGGTTCTGTTTCGTGATCTTAAAGACAGCCGCAAAAGCATTTTCTATGCTTTGGAAAGCTTATGGGAAGAAATCTCTAAGCCAGGTTCAAACTGAGAGGGACTTGCCCAGCGCAGAGTTCGTCAAACCTCACTGGCAGATAACCCCATCCGAGTTGCCCCTTGGCGTCCAGAAATCAAATTTAGAGTCCATGATGATTTGTATTTTTCGACATCAATGGAGTCGCTCATGTTTTATATGCTCCTTTTGACACCGTTGTGACCTACCATTATCATTAGATGATTCCTAAATGATGGCGTGGGACAGGGCAAAAAAAGGGGTCTGAATTGTGACAATCGGGAGACTGGCTGCGTCAGCATGACAACTTGCCTGCGCGCACACAGCGTTAAAATTCAGAAGTTTTGGTGAAAAACGGTATAGCAACGACTTCTTACCCCTAGTGCCCCCCTCACTCACCCAACTTAGCTCCCTGCGACTACACTTTATTTCAAACAATGAAGAAAAACCTAAGTAGCAAGCGTTTTCAGAAGATAAGGGAGGTTAAGAAAGTCATTGGGGGCAAGCAGCAGCTTTATTTTAGGGAAATATAAAGTATGTTTTGAACAGCACAAATTCCATTAGAACAAGTGCATAGCACATAGTAAACCATAATTTTAAACGGATTAATGCTTAGAAATGTCCTCTTAAAGAAAACACTGTTTCTTTTCGGGCGTCTTTTAGAAAGGGCAACTAATCTGTATGAGCAATAGGTAAAGCGAAACTGAGGTTACTCATTCTGTGCTAAATTTGACCGTAAAGCCGAGGTTTTAGACTAAAATCGTGAAAGAAATATTAAACAGTGTTCAGGAAGTGGATTACGGGGTCAGACGTCAAGCCCACCTTCCCATCAGCGCCCGAAATCAACTTATACTGAAAACTTCTAGATATGGAAGTTGGGTAAATGGCAGTGCAGTCCTTTTGACAAAATAGATTCGTATTTCAAGTGCGAAATTGGGTTAGATTGAATAGTTTGCAGAGCTGGTCGTCGTATCCCCGACGGCTCAGGGTTAGAAAGTGCAGCGCAAGTTCGGGAGGACAGCGGTTCACATTCGCCGATACAAACGGACCCCAGATGTAGTACCTGTCCTATTTCCTACAGTGTTACCTAAAACGCACCCTCCCTACGGGAGAAGGCCAGCTTACACCATCATTTATAATAAGCTTTGATAAAGTGGACTTAATTTAAAACACACACGAGAATTTACGTAAATAATACCAATGATTGAAAGTGAAAATGTAGATATTAGAATTTTTTATCAGTAAAGGCAGCCCAAATCATACGGTTTGCATCATGTCATGAAAACGTAATTCGTAATTTATTCCGTGTATCGAATATACGCATACCGCTAAAGAAATGTCCAGCATTGTCTGGAAAAAAGGAGCACTGACTTGTGTATGTTAACCGCAAACACTATATCTAACTTAGATTTGAGTAATAACACCCACTTAAGAAAAGAAAACGATGTAGATAAACATCTCTTTTATAATTCTGAGCACATTTGCTGTCGGCTGAAATCTGATAGATAAGGCAACATAAAATATTACCAGAGAAGTTGCTTCCTAAACTGACTGTGGGTTTTGTCGGTCAAGCATATGTCAACGCATACGGCCGGTCACTCTGACTTTGTCATAATGCAGTGGGGGCGGAAAGAGACTAAGGTAACCGCTCTAAAGGAATTCACGTACAAGTCGCGGCTAAGACCATCTTAATGTTTACGACAGTTGACCTGTGCTTCCTTCGAGACTTGATTATAATTCGCAGGGCTCCGAGTCTTTCACACGGTGATACTATAGAGCAGTGTTCAAATGTACCTATGCCAAGTTTGCAACTGAAATTAACGCGGTGAAAGGACTGACTCAAAAGTAATGAAACAGGTCATCGTAAAGCTCACACGGATATAATCAAATACCGACAATAAAGGCAACAAGAAAGCTCACGTTTATAGCATCAAGTCCATTCTTAATTTCAATGCTTGAGACGCCCCTCCTTTGGTCCCCCGCTACCTGCTTATCCGACCATTCATTTTCTAGATCTTTTCTTGCAAAAGTGTTCGGCACATGATATTTTGTTACATGCGACATCAGTCTTTCATTGTTGTCAGCTTGCCGATCGTTGCGTAACTTACCACCTTCGCTCCTTTCATAGGGTAAATAGTAGGACCTAAATAGAAGTGTTAGAAAATTGCACATTATCGCTTTAATTACAACAAAACTCGCTCTTTCAACGAAAGCACCAACAAGATATTAAAAAAATTCTGCAAGTTGTGAAACCCTAAAAGAAGCTTGAAGTCAACGAATGCTAAACATACAGAGTTTTTGTCAGGCACAGAAATGAAATATGGATATCCATAAGTAACGAGGAGATGGAAGAGAGATTCCGGTTATAAAGTGCCCTAAATAATTGCTTCATAAATACGCTTCGATTCTAACGAATCGTTTTTTATACGGTTTGAAGGCGAAACTAGTACTTAGATGAAACAGTGACTTTGAAGGACAGTAAATACAGTATATACTTCAATGGAATAAACTTAGCGATTTGTCATAGAGTATATAGTGGGCCACCCGTATATGTCAGCCAGAAATCAGTCCCTGCCGGTGGATTGTTTATTTTGTCATGGAGCCTTGTCGGTTGTGTGCGCTCAATCCGATTGCTTTAAAGTTTGGTACTAAATTAATTTTCGGCACAGTAGTTAATACAGGAGAAACCTGGTATTTTAACGTTGAATCAGCATACAGCGCACAAATATTTTTTGAAATTGACTCCCAAATAAGAATACACAACATATTTCCTATCTATTTATTTGACGTTTGTGATTGAGAAATGTCTATTGCATGAAATATGCTGAAAGATATCTGTCATGGTGTGCTATCTTCCATAAAGAGCTGATCACTTCAAAACCTGACTGAGACAGTCAAAATGGACTGAGTAAAGCCCTTTGAAATGTTTTTGCTACAAATATCAGTCAAAAAGGAAGGTTTTTAGAGAACGACTGATTTGCGATAGGGCGTTTGAATGAATATTTTGGCTATTAATCTAAAGAGGCGGGAATATTCTGCACACAATTGGTCATGCCCAACGCTACAGCCTAAACGCAGAAGAATTGGCCGTTATTAACTGACTTCAATGAAGGTGCGAGAAGCGTAATTGCGTCGGAGATACAGTCAACGAACACAAAAGTACACGGATGAGCATCAGTTGGATGTGCGAATGTGGGATCCAAAATCCGAACTAACAACCGATGCCATGCAAATGAGCAACATTTTCAAATTTAACACCGTTGAGATTATGAGTCGTGAAACTTAAAGAGTAATACATGAAATGAACACATAGTCAACTTCCACATCAGAGTGGCTTCGCCTTATCTAAGTTTGCTAATATCCTTAATAGAAAATAGTGAAGGTGCGAAACAATTTGGACCATAAATTGTCTTCGTGGTCAAAGAGTACCGGCACAACCCAAAATACGACGAACCGGCGACATACTACTAGGCAAAATGTACTATATAGTGGAAGGTATGGAAAGGACTCAACAGTTTCCAAAGACGAGTATCCGCACTCACTACTCAAAGCTTCAACAAACAGAAAATGATTTTCAGTGAACTTGATTCGTTTTTGAGACTTCACCTGACAATCAAATTTTTACTACTACTACTACTACAAGGAATGGTACCAAAACTAAATAGATTTCTATAAATTGCTTGCATAGGCAACACATAGTCCTTAGAGAACATACAATTGCTATATAGGTTCCTAGAAATAATTAAAAATACAAAAAATGATTATATGCCTTCACTTTATAGAGTCACCATAAAAACGCCTGTTTGAAGTTTAAAGCAAAGTTTTCCAGGTGACAATTTGTAGATGGCATCTTGTTTAACTCTCTTATGTTACTAATTAGCCTTTGTGACTGTGGCCTATGAACCGGTTGACTTTTCTGTACCAATTAAATTTTATATTGTTGTCATTCGTTACATTTATAATGCATTGAGGGGAAGCAACTGAAGAGTTC